GCAAAATGATGGAAAAGACTCATTGCCAGTTATCACAAATGCTTGATTGCAGTTCTTGCTGCCAAGGGTGATGCAACCAGTTACTAAATTTGGAGGGCGCATTTATTTACACAGGGTCAGGTAGCTTTGGATGGCTTTATTACATTAATTAATGAAATCATCATTTAAAAACTACATTTTGCATTTAGTTGAGTGGTCTAATATTAAAATTTGTTTGATGACTTGAAACAAGTAAATGTGACAAATGTGGAAAATATAAGAAATCAAGGAAGGAGCAAATACTTTTTCACAGCACTGTAGGACAGAGTCAGATGAATAATTTAGCCATTTTACAGTATTTATTCTAGCTAAGATAACCAACCTTAAGTTTTCCCCATTTGGCTCATCCTTGCTTCATGTTAGCTACTTTACGCTAGCTAAAGTAGTTGACTGCTGGATCTTACTTGCTTCATTCATTTTATGCTAGCTCAGGTAAACGTAGTTTGCTTCATGCCATCTATTTATTCTAGGTACGCAATAAACCGTATAAAAGATGGACCTAACTATTTGGCCACCTTTTTTAAAGCTATAACAGTTATAAAAGTCCTGTTTTGAAGCTTAGTGCTGAGAACTTTTACCGCCGCCATCTTGCTGTTTGAAAACTGGATGTGACCAGCATAAGGCACAAGTGATTGTGAAACCGCTAACAACTTATTAATCACAGGTTTTTAGTCAATGAGGATACCGTGACACTGACTGACCGGCATGTATAAAATGAACACGTTTTATACACCATGAGCTGAAATGATTGATTTGAACTCATAAACTCATCAGGAAGGTCAAGGCAGAGGGCCATTTTTCTCATCGCTATATAAGCCTGAGGTCAGTCACAGTGATCGGGCTTTGGTGGTCCTTCAAAATGATGCAATTTTTTTTTATGTTGGATTCACTTTTCAAAGACAGAAGTCAGTTAGTCGTCAGTCTAATTTGTTGTTTCTTAGTCCGCAGATTATGAGCCTTCACTTCCTGTTTCAGAGAAGTCTAACCCCCTGACACGTGACATCGACCGAGCTTCGGCCTATAGCATTGTGAAGATGTTACAAGTTTGTGATTCCCAGATGTTCCAGGAAGAGGCAGGAACGACCTACCAGGTATATCAGTACTAGCCTTCATGATGGGAAAATGTATTCTCAAAATTTCCTTTTGAGAATTTCTTTCTTTAAATCTCATTTTCAGAGGCTTTTGAGTGACCAAGTGGTGAAAACCTTAACGGAGGTTTCTAAAAAGGTGGAGGTCATAATTAAGGTGCCTTTTTTTCCTCCTCCCTCAATATTTGGATCTGTATTTGCGTCAGTCAGTCGGGCATAGGCTATTGTGCCTTCTGTGTCTTTAACAGGATCCTCAGGAGAGCTGTGTTGTGTTGAGCGGTTGTGGCACTTCTGGTCGGCTGGCTTTCCTGATCTCGGTAAAAGTTGTCCCGAAATACTTTCTGCGCTGTTCAGGCTTTTGGAAAGCGTATCAGTTACTTGAACGTTCATAATGGAAAATCAAGTGCACAGTGAGCCAGAGCAGAACGAAACAGACCCTGCCAGTAATATGAGAAAAATGGCTCTTAATTAAATTATGTGATCAGATCTCTCTTGCTCATGGAAAAAAAAATGCTTCCTGTGTTGTGTGTTTATTGTCTGTTTGTGTTGTTAGTCAGGCTTCAACAAAGCACTGAGTCAGCTGAACCAAAGTGAAGTGTATTCATACATCATTGCAGGAGGAGACAGGTGAGTTGG